AACTCATATCAAGGTGTTCGTTTATATATGGGATCGGATTTCCTACATTTTTAAACCGATTTCGACCACACCTTTTTCTTATATATATATATATATATATATGTGTGTGTTTGAAATAGTACAGAAGCGTATTAAGGCATAAAAAGCAAGAAATTATATATTGTAGGCCATGATAGATTTAAAACAAAAACACACACCAGTCAACCGGTTTCATCCCCTCTCATCAGAACTGTTAACGGGGAACTCAAATTATGAAGAAAAGAAAAAGTCTGTCATGGATGACATGAATGAGTGGACAGGGAGAAAAAAAAAATTATTATAAAATTATACCAACAAAGATGCTAGAAGCGCAGCACAGCAAGTCCAAGCAAACAGTCTTTTTGTTTACAAAGAGCAGGTTGCCTGGACCTGATGTAAAGCGTCTCCAACACCTTAAGGTGGAATAATGAGTGCGAACTGGCCAAAACGGAAAACCAGTTCACACTGAAATCCATCGCACAAGTGGGATTCTTTATAAAGTGATCTGCAATCGAAGACCCATACGTGTTACAAATGTTATGGCCCAAAGAAAAATTTTTATTCAGTATTATAGCAGGTATGTGTTGTTTAATTCTAACATCCAACTGCTGTGTCGTTCTACCTATGTAGTCGAATCCACAACTACATTTGAAATGGTAAATAACAGAATTTTACACATAGATGAAAGTACGGACTTAGTTTGAAAGACAACACGAGCGTTCGTTGCAAAATAACACTCACGTGAACTACATGAAATCCTACCCAACCATGGTAAACAAAGATAGACCGGACATTTACCCACTGAAGCACGTTTGATTTTGTTGAACCTGGTAGTCTTATCTCGAATAACCGATTGAACAATGTTCAACGGATAACCATTGTTCACAAAGATCTCAGTTAAACAATGTAATATTTGTGTCGGTTTCGACGTATATGGATCTTTGTGCGATAATCTTAAGTGGTCATTTAAGATTTTGCTAGTGATTTACAAAGGAGGATACATATGGAGCAAGTGTGTGGATTGTGAGATGAGATCACTATTAGATTGGCTGACCTTTAAGTTGTCTTGCTCTTGCTGTAATATTTGTGTAATATATATATATATATATATATATATATATATATATATATATATATGTAATATTTGTGTATTTTATATATATATATATATATATATATATATGTAATATTTAGTATTTTTATATATATATATATTTGTGTATTTTTTTATATATATATATTTTGTGTATTTTTATATATATATATATATATACATTAATATTGTGTATTTTTATATATATATATATGTAACATTTGTGTATTTTATATATATATATATATATATGTAATGAAATTTTATTTATATATATATATATATATGTAATATCAGTATTTTTTATATATATATATATATATGTAATATTTGTGTACACATATATATATATATACGGATATTCTTTAGGTTTTTTATAATATATATATATACCATGTAATATTTGTGTAACGGATATATATATATATATATAATACATTTGTATTTTTTCTATATATATATATATATATGTAATATTTGTGTATTTTATATATATATACATATATGTAATTGTGTATTTTTATATATATATATATAATTATCATTTGTGTATTTTTCATATATATAAATATATAAAAATATTTATATTATATATATATATATATATATATGTTGTTAATATTTGTATTTTTATATATATATATATATATATGTAATATTTGTGTATTTTTATATATATATATATATGTGTATTTTTATATATATATATATATATATATATTTGTGTATTTTATATATATATATATATATGTATTTTATATATATATATATATATATATATTTTATATATATATATATATGTAATATTTGTGTATTTTTTATATATATATATATATATATATATATATGTGTGTATTTTATATATGTAATATTTATGTATTTTTATATATATATAAAAAACACTCACCTCAAACCAAAGTATTGGTCAAAAGTGCACAAGGTCTACCAATTGACCGAAAGAAACCTAGACAAAGACAGATACCTACCTAAACATTGCTCTATGTTGAAGTGAGCAAGATAGACACTATGCAAAAAGGACCAAGATTTCACATTGTCATTCCAGTTTTGTGTTACCATGGTCATCAGGTGATTGCAGTAGTGGGCAACTCAAGTAGTTCTTTCAACTTTGTCTCTCTTTGGGGGTGTGTGTATATGTATGGATGTATTTAATATATTATTAATACAATAATATCTAAATATATTATGCTAAGAATATTTTTAAATATATATATATATTTATTTTTTTTTTTAAGGCCACTAGTATGCAGGGAGTTACAGCGAGTGGCTCTTACTCTGAAGTATGAGAAAAGACTGGGTATGGAGGTGGGGTTGAGGAGAGGATAAAAGATGAACACGTTTCAAGACAGCAGAAGATGGCAATTGAGGTTGCATTTAAATTTTTGAAGATTGTAGTTTTCAGGGAAGCAAGAAATTGGAAGGGATTTCAACTTGCAACTTCATTCAATAACCCTCTACCTCTTTCTCTTTTTTATTTATATTATATATATATATAGCAGTTGGTTGTCTAAAGTAACATGTGCAGGAAGGGAACTGGCACAGACTACAACATAGTGTGGCCATGGGGTTGCCCACCAGGTGTTTCTTCCATGTGTTGCATGGCACTATAAGAACCCTGATATTATGCAACTGCTAATTGGAGCAGCCTCTCTAGATGCTACACAAGAGTTTGGGCTCCTAACTACAAGTGGGAAACAGTAACTAGAAAACTGCCAACACGGTACCCCCAGTATGAAGAGATGTAGCTACCATCCATGCATATCACAAAAGATTAATGACAGCACCACTATTAAGGTAAAGGAAAGGAATCAGGGTCCCCTTCCTAAACAGGAAACAAGGGATGAGCCTCTACTCCTGTTCAAAATAAGGGGGAGGAGTATTAAATATATTATACTAATAATATTACTAGAGTGGTGGGAGTGGTGAAAATGTTCAACCAAATCTGACCAAATGATTAGCATTAGACTTATTCTTTTTTAGAAGTGCATTTTGGTTGTGCTAAGAACTTTTTAGCATCTCCTCATATATTGAATATATTGATATGGCAGCTATTAATGAGCTTAGGTTTTTTTTGTTTTGTTTTTTTTTTTGCAATATATACTTGATGAGAAAAGCAAAAAAAGATTTGATGCAAAAGAAAACTTATAAATTGTCACTTTGGATACAGAGAGATCATATATATTTAATTTTATTGGCAAACATTGTTTATCGTCTTTGCTTCTGTCTCCTATATAACTTTTTTTTTTCTGATAATTTGTTCATCTCTCTTGCAGGCATCCCATGTTTTGGCCCCTCAGCAAAAGCAGCTCAAATTGAAGCCAGCAAAGATTTTGCCAAAAATTTCATGGTTCGCCACAATATTCCTACTGCTCGCTTCAAGTCGTTTAGCAATGTAGAAGAAGCTTGTGAACACATCCGCACGTAAGGCCTTAGCCTTCTTATTTGGGTGTTTCTTTTCTCTCTCTCTCTCTCTCTCTCTATAGTTTCTAAATAATGAAAAATTATTAAACCATAGGCAGGAGTTAATGGTTTTCTGCTGACATCAACAAATTTTCGCATTAAATAATTAGCATAAAAAAAAAAAAAAATCCCATATTTTAATAAAAGTCTTAAAAGCTTAGCCAAATCATTAAATAGGAAAAACCCTTTCTGTAGTCGTCAAAAAACAAATTGAAATTCAGTGTAATACGGTTTGTATATAAAACACCCACTTGAATAAACAAATAAATACAGAGATAATCAGACAATAATAAAACACAATCCTCCCAACACATAACGTCTTGTTGGCGCGCCATAAAAATATCCCTCACTGGGAACTAACTAGAAGTTTACCGCCAACATTAGCCTTGAAATAGATACACTACCCAACCTTAGCAAAACCTCTCAGAAGATGATGAATCTATAGATAAGAATTAACTCTCTGACCACTTAACGAAGAAAACTAGCCTAGTCACTCCCACAATAACGAATGTTATAACGAACCATGCCTAAAAACACACGTAAACCAAGAGATAGCTTATTCCTAAAATTGCGCTTGAAGATGAAACGGGACTAAACACCCAAATTCAACTTAATTTTAATAATTATTTGGATGGTTTTGGCTCTCATTTTTGAAACATGAGAACTCTTATGTAGCGAAAATCATTTTTAAACAAAAAAAATATTACTATATATATATATATATATATATATATATATAAAAAGAGAGGGTTACTGAATGAAGTTGCAAGAATGTACAGTGGTGAGAATAAGGAGTGCATATTATGAGTAGGATAGATAGCACTTGAAGAGGTCAAGTGTCACGATTGGGAAGCAGCCCCTAATGAGTCTGTTTCACAAAGTGACAGTTCTGGGAAAATTGAATGATTTTATTGGGTGAAATCTTACTTTTCAGATTTTGAATTTCTTACATGAGCAATTGTCGTTAATCTTTGACAAGTTTTATTTTATTTTATTTTTTTTTTTTTTTTTTTTTTTTTTTATTCATTCATTCATTCATCTTACTTTTGTGGCTTTTTATACCAGATATGTGGTAAGGTATTATTCATGCCAGGTGAGCTCCTCAAAGATACATCATATAGGATCAAATGTTATCAGAGGCTACTTAGTTTGTTTATGAATCATGTGTGTAACAACCCAAGTGTTATGATAGAAAGCAACTAAAATAAGATGAAAAGAAAAAAAAGTCCAAATTAATGATAATGTTTCACCCAAGAAATTCAGACAACTTAAGACTTTTACATTTATTGCTTGGATGTATAAATAAGAAAAGATTGAACAAAAATTAATCTAAAATGAATAATGAACATATTTTTATTTTACATTAGAATAATTACACAAATGAAAGGAGATACAAAAGTACATAATTAATTGAGGAATGGATAAAATTAATTCTTAATCTTATTGTATTGTTTATTTTTTATTTCCCCAGAGCTCCTTACAAGGCTCTCGTGGTAAAAGCCAGTGGGTTAGCCGCAGGTAAAGGTGTTATTGTTGCCGACTCTGTTGAAGAAGCTTGTGCTGCAGCAAAAGAGATTTTAGGGGTAAGTACAACTTCAATACTTTCTTAGATTTTAGACCCCCCATCTCTCATTTGCAGTCCATCACAGAACTAAAAGAACAAATTCCCTCTTTGATTATTGATTGCAAATAATCAAATCTACAAAAGTGAAACACAGAAAAATTAAGTACTTTCTTGGATTTTACAAGTATTTCTTTTTCAGTATTGATTAGCCAACCAATTTGAGACTTATTCCGACTCTTTATTGGTGATCAGTAAAACATAGGAATTCAGGAATTTTTCTTATTTGTTTTGTAGGTGAGAAGAGTGTCTTTATTGTGTTTAGAAACCTTATTGATTGATTGATTTTTTTTTTTTTTTTTTCTTCTAATAGTTTTAAGGTGATAATTGATTGAAAGTAATTTCTGTTGAGAAAATAATAGATTTGTTACCCTGTGTGTTTTTAGTAATCCCCAGTGTCGAAATAGACACATTTTATGTGTAAGCACTATGTATACATTATTATTATTATTATTTTTTAGGGTGGTAGCTGGTCAAATTTAGAAATGACCATCTGTGGGTTTATTGTATTGTGATGTGGAGACATGGTTGTTATTTAGATGTACCAGTACATCCAGAAACAAAATGAAGTCGCTGAATATTCCATTGTGAATTTTCATCAGTCGACTATATCTACATATTACATGTGTGAACAATGTTTCTTTACTATTATATATTAGTCAGCTGAAAAATTCATAGGCTTACCAAGATATAAGTGTATCAGAATGCAACAGCTGGCCAACCAGTTCTATTCTAGTACATCTTGCATATTTTTTAGTCTACCAACTGGTGTGTCTACTTACATTTATATCTTGGTCAGCTTATGAACTTCCAAGTCGACCTTTTAATTTAAATAATTAATCAAAAATATTAATATACAACCCAGTGTGTCTGAAATTTTATATTTTTTAACATTTTTTAAAAAAAAATTTTATTGTTCAAGATGTATAATCTTCAGGCCATGTGGGTTAGACTAACACACATGGCCTGAAGATTAAAAAAATAGAATAAAAAGACTTATCTTTCCAGGTTGTATATTCCGGATGTTGATCCCTTTTATCCTATGAATATAGCATATCTTGAAACTATATTTTGGGAGAATAGAATTGCAAAATCACCAAATTTCTGGTTGTTCCTGCAACCTTTGACAAGGCTTGGTACAAAAGTGTAATTTTTTAAATTTTTTTTTTACATTGGAAGTTAACTGGGATATTTCATTAATACAAATTGTTAGAATTGGATATAAGTTAGAAATTCTAAATTCTAAAATAATTTTATAAATAAGGACAAAAATAAAATATAAATAAAAATAGTAAATAACTAATGAAAAAACATGTGCAAATCATTATCCTGATCTTTGTTGTGCCATCCAGCCTTCATCAAGGTGCATTTTGATCGTGGTGACCTACAGGTAATTACAAATTGAACCCTTTATTTAATCCAGAGGGTAGATTGTTCTTGTTCCACTGCTCGTGTCTAGGAATCTCTCTCTTAACTAGACTAGATATCCCTAGACATGAGTAGTGGGTCAACAACAACCTAAACCCATACCTCTGTAGGTTACACAGATCAACATACACCGGATGCGCAACAGCCCAAATGTCATAATAACATCAAAGATGAGGACAATAGTTCTCGCACATGTATAATTCCCCATCCCACAAATTCAGACAAAAAGGAAAGGTAGAACACGAACACACACACACACACACACACACAGGGTGCGATGGATAAATTGTCATCTAAATTACACAAAAATGAAAAAAACACTGACATTTCATATTCACCAAAATTACACAAATATCTTGAAATTAAAGAGTAAATTTATCCAATAAAATTGCTATTGACTTCAACCAAGGCCACCAGAAAGCTTCAGAATCTCCTGCAACTCTTCTGGACAGTCTCTTTGTTTATTCTCAGATGGTGTATCTGTCCAGGAGACAAAATGAATAAAAAGAAACAAAAGGAAAAATTATTCTTAGCTGACACATCGATAAAGTCTTTCAGAGGACGAAACACGTCAGCTAAGAATAGTTTCCTCCTTTGTCTCTATTTATTCTGTGTGTGTGTGGAGAGAGACACTGGGGTCAACATCAAGTGGTAACTGTATGTTTCATGCTTGAATGCAATCTTCAGGCCATGTGTGTTGGCTATTTATATATGCTGGTCAGTGGTGCATTATGAGTAGTAAGGTATATTGTATTATACTGATGGTTATTGGGTATTAATGTTTATATTTCAAATTATTCTAGAGACTATCGAGTAGAAATAGTTGTGGGTCCAAATGCAGTTATATGCAGATAGATATTTTATAAGATTGTTACTCTTATTCCTTATTTATTATTGATTACTTAATTATTTCTTTATTATTATTTTATTATCACATGTGTTTGTGTTCATTCATAGTTTATTTACTTGTACTTTCCAGCACATTCAAGAATACTGAACATTTAACCCTCTTTTAATTATTTGTACATATAGAAACTTTTAATTTATTGTATTTCCAACAAATGAATAAGCATACTTTTCATATAATTAACTGTACACAGATGTGTAATAACTAAATATGCATAGAAAACAGAAAAAAATTTTATTTAACAGAAATAAACCCCACTTATCCATTTTATTGGTTGAAAAAGTATTTGTACAATACAAAAAATACATAATCTTCATTTGTAGAATAACCATTATTCCCTTTTACAGCAGGCAACCTGTTCTTGTAGTTCTCAATGATTTGCAAATTTTATTTGGTATTTTGTTCCATTTTTCTTCAGATATAGGATGTTTGTTGGAGCTCTCTATTGGATTTGAATTTTCAAATAACACCACAGATTCTCAATTGGTTTTAAATCTGGGGACTGACTTGGCCATTTCTTCATAGATTTTGCAATGTGCTTAGGATTATTAACTTGTTGGACAATCCAATCAGAAGGAAGTTAAAGATTTTCAACTGAAATCATTAAATTTGCTTCCAAAATATTTTGATATGCTGCAGAATTTATTATGTCATCTATTACTTGATATGTTGCCAGTGCCTTTTGCAGAAAAACATCCCAAACCATGATGCTGCCACCACCAAATTTCACTGTTGGAACTATGTTCTTTTGTTTGAAGACATTGCCATATTTCCTCTATACATGATTTCTAGAATTATGTCCAAACAACTCAATTTTGGTTTTGTCTATCCATAATACTCTTTCCCAATACAATTTTTCCTTATCCTTATGTTCACGAACGAATTTCAATCTAGCATCTCTGTGTCTTTTCAATAACAGTGGAGTTTTCCGAGATGAGTGAGAATTTATATTGTTCCTATGAATTTCATTAATTATTGTCCGTTTAGTGACAGATTCCTGATGAAAGCAAATCATCCTGCAACTCTTGATGGAGTAACCATTGGATTTTGTTTAATTTGACATGTTAATTTTCTCACTTGAAGAAATCTTCCATAGAGCACCTGTTCTTTTTGGTTTTCAACAGTTTTGAGTTCTCACATCTTCCAATGAATGAATTAATGGTAGTAAATGTAATATTCAGGTTGTCTGAGATTTTCCTGTAACTTTTACCTTCTTTCCAGAGCTTAACAATCAGTTCTTTTTGCGAATTTGTCAATTCTTTACCTCTTGCCATGATGGTAACCTTCTTGCATGAATATCAGTTACAGAATGTTCTGTTTGTATTTTTGAGGCTAAAAATAACTACTGTTAAAATTATTGGAACATTCTAGAATATTCCACTTGAATAATCTAGAGTATTAAAGCAATTTGAAATTTGCTTTGTATGAATACTTTTTCACCCACTAAAATGGATAAGTGGGATTTATTTCTATTAAAATTTTTCCTGTTTTCTATGCATATTTAGTTATTATGCATCTGTGTACAGTTAATTATCTGAAAATTATGTTTATTCATTAGTTGGAAATATAATAAATAAAAATTTTTTATGTGTACAAATATTTGTTTCTGTGTAATTAATATATACTACTGAATTGATCTCTTTCCTTGTCAATTTACTTATGTTAAAGAAATATTCCTGGCATTAAAAATAAAACTTTTCTTTCTTTCTTTCTTTTTTTTTCCTTGTTGACTTATGGGTGTATGTAATGGAAGGTGGAAATATATATGTAATGGAAGGTGGAAATATATATGTAATGGAAGGTGGAAATATATATATATATATATATATATATATATATATATATATATATATATATATATATATATATATATAAATAAAAAATGTTTGTTTCTAAGTAATTACTTATTCATTTCTGGTAATGATTTTTAATTTTCTATTTTCTAGACCAAGATATTTGGCAATGCTGGTGACATTCTTGTGGTAGAAGAACTGCTGGAAGGTGAAGAAGTCTCTGTAAGACCATATTCCTTAATTTTTAATTACTTCAGCCATGTTATAAATGTGTGTGTGTGCGCGTGTTTTTTGTTGCCTTTTTTATTATTTGTTTTTAATATTTAAAATTTTGAATTGCCAAATTTGAATTTGTCAATTATCTATTTGGTTTTATTAAATTTAACTGACATGATCTGTCTGTTTTTGTTTTATTATTTTTGTATTTTTCCAAGTTTTGAATAAGATTTTATACATTGAAATTATGGCTATTATAATTATTATTTGGCTAAATAATGTAGACAGAGCATAGTAACAAAAAAGAAATGCTTGTACCCAGAAGAGACAACTGAAATCCCTTGGACACACAAGGAAAGAAGGCTTCACTGGCTGAATAGTGAGTTTGATCCTCACTGGGTGCCCCATATTTTTGGCCTTGTGCTACACTTAGAAATATATATATATATATATATATATATATATATATATATATATATATATATATATATATATACACACTTTGATATTTCATACCTTCTGTAATAAAGATCACATTTTGCAAAAAAAAAAAAAATTTCCTCCTTTTTAACTTAAGAGGAGAGATGAAATTTTTGCTGTTGGCCCAGAATTCTTGCATGTTTTTTTTTTTTTTTTTTTCCCAGCATACCAACGCTTAAGAAACTCTATCATCTACCTTACAACATTAATGAAAATGCAGAAACTTGTTTTCTGTCTCTCTGAAGGTCATAAAATGTACTGAGAAAAGCATACTGCTAATCAATCTCTATTTTGTAGAAAAATTAGCAAAATTAATTTACCAAGGTGACCTCAAATGTGTGTGTGTGTGTATGTGTGTGTATATATATATATATATATATATATATATATATAGAAAAATTTCCAAAAATTTCGCTTGAAGATGGGACAGAGCTTACTTTAACTCAATTTAATTTAAATAACTATATTGAAGTTTTCGCTCTTGTTTTGAAACATGAGACCTCTTATGTCTAGCGTTTTGGAATCATATTTTTAAATAAATAATTATATTTATGCTCTACTTTTGTATCGAGCACTATTTTTTTAAAAATAATAACTAAAATACTAAGGGACTTTGGATTATTTACCTAATCAGTTCCTTCCTATTTTCTATATATTTTTTCATATATATATATATATATATATATATATATATATTAAAAAAAAAAAAAACTTTCTCAAGATTGATAAGTCCTATTAAAGAAACTGTGACAGGGCAAAATGTGCCTTACCAATTAGGCCATGGGAAGCCACATTGACAGATAGGTTAACTGAACCTTACTTTGTCCTGATGGTTTCTCATGGCCATATTAGTAATATATATTTCTATTGAAAAAAACTTTTGAAATATGCTAACAAACTAAAATAATTTTGGTCATTTGATTTCAGTGTTTGGCGTTTTCTGATGGAACCACTGTAGCTATGATGCCTCCTGCACAGGATCATAAACGCCTTAATGATGGTGACAAGGGCCCAAATACTGGAGGAATGGGAGCTTATTGTCCATACCCAAAGGTCAGTACACATAAAGTAACTTTTAAATTTCAAGAATTTACTATAATTGTATCTTAAGATTGTTAAAAATATAAAGAATTAATCAGTGTATTGATGTCAGTCAAAGGGGTTGTTGGGGTGTTCATCACCTACAAGGCTGTGTAGACAATTTTAGACTCTGTCAAGACAGATCAGTGAGGTCTAGTCAGCTCCAGCCCAGATATGACAGAAATATTCCATTTTTAGTCTGATCTGGTTCTTGTAAAGATAGACTATAGTAGGGGGAATCATATATTTACTGGAGTGGTGCAGTGAACCAACAATCTTTTCAGCACCTTTAGCAACAGATCAGATATGAGTTTCACTTCAGGTCTGAGATTATATTATAAAATTATTAAATTATAAATAAGATACACCAACCCCGAACCTGTATATAAATGACATGATCCCTGTTCATAAATTCCAGTTGCATAAGGTCTTTTAATTTTTTACAAGCTTTCGTCTGTTTCTACAGACATACTCAGGTATAGAAATAGATTTTGTTCTTGTTTTTACTTCTCGGTAATAAGAGGACAACGAAAATAGAGATGTAGTCCGATAGATATATATATATATAGTGAGAGAATTATTATAAATAAATGGTTTGTCACTTGTCTGATTGATGTTGCCTTCAATCTCAAGTGAGGTTACCTTTTCCATTGCATAATGACTACTACTACAGGTTTAAGTTGTTGCTTTCATTGTCGTTTATGGCCATTCTCAATTTTTTTATTGTCCTGCCAGTTTTTTGCATTGCATTCACCATAGTAATAAATAATCTTGCTTTTTTATTACTCAACATTTATTTTTTCAACCTTTCCTAAAGTTATTCGAGCTTAGTGATCTCTGTAGCTTTACAGCATTCTCTTCTGGTATTTGTCACGCATTCCATTTGACAATTCATACTTGCCTAAGACATGCCACTAAAGAAAAGAACTTGCCTAGGTGGCAAAACCTGCTGCTGCAATGTGAATAAGAGGTAAAGAATCGTCTTTAGAATGTTCAGTTTGTCTGGAGCAAAATGTCTCTTGGAATGCTTCAATCAGAGCCACTGAGTATGAAGATCAATGTAGCCATTGGCTTTCCAGAAGAACATACCTGAACGCTTCTGTGCATGAGGCTTAAACTGCTGATCAAAGGAGAAACTCCTTTTAAACTGCTGCTGTGCGTTAGGCTGAAACAAGATTGAGAACGCAAAAACGTCCCTTTTCAAGGCCCCATTCAAATTGTTAACCTTCCCATTTGGGGATGTACCTCAGTTGCACCCAATTGTTGTTACTAATATTGATTTTTGGGTGAGCTGACTTTAAACTTAAATTGCTCTCATTGAATGGTAAAAATTCCCGGTAATGAAAAACCCAGTCAAAGATGGGTTATAAATGCTAGTTTAAAATATGTGCATTAAAAAAAATATTTGCTTTGTCTTTGTTGTTTTCTGACCATTAGAAATAATCAAAAGGTACAAGGCGTTTACAGGGTGTGGAGGAATTAGGAACAGAAACATTTAATCATGAACAGGAAGAGAAAATAGTAATCAGGAGGAGAGAAGATAGCAATTGAAATTACATTTAAATTTTTGCAGATTAAAATTGGTCAGAAAGCATGAAGCTGCACAAGTAAGAACTGTGAGAAAAGAAAGTGTTAGCATAGAATTTATGATTACATGTGGCTAACTTGACTGTAAATCAGTGAGACCTTGTCACCAGTCTAGTACTGCACTTAAATTCAAAGAATCTAGGTACCATAATGAAGAGCTCATCTAAACAATTACCATGAAAGTGTTTATAGAAAAGTCAAAGGGGGGGTGCAGCCTCATGCCAGTGGGAAAGGGACTGAAGCTGAGATGCCGAATCAGGGCCAATAATATTGCTGATTCTTCCTTGGATTTCATCAAGGAGATTATTATTGCAATTAAGTGAGTGTTAAACAAAGATGAAGCTGGCCATATGCAGTTTCTTTTTTTTTTTTATTAACACTGAATTTGTCAAATCTTTTTTTTTTCTTACATTATTTACATTATTCGGACTATTGTCCTCATCTTAGTCGCCATATTTATTACAACGACACATGACACAGTGGATAAAGGCATTGGTTAGATCCAGTGACAGGACCCAAAGAGTGTGATTTCAATACTCGGTTAAGGCAGTGGAGAACTTTCAGGGGGAAAATTAACAGGAGATAACTGATAACTGACATCCATTAAGAACATGGCACATGGAACTAGAACAGTCCACCCCAGTGTGCGAAATAATGGGTTCAGTTCGACATTCCAACCACCTGAAGAAGGCTGGAGCGTACAACGGCTGAAACGTTGTAAGAAATATGGCGAACAAAGATGAGGACAACAGTCCGAGTAATGTAAATAATGTACATAATAGCTCATCTCAGAAATATAGACACTTTTTTTTTTCTAAATTTTATATTAACAATGAATTTGTTGTTTTTATTTATTTTATTTATTTTATTTTTTTATTTATTTTTTTATTTTTTTTTTATTTTTATTTTTTATTTATTTTATTTTTATTTATTTTATTTTTTATTTATTTTATTTTTATTTATTTTATTTTTATTTATTTTTTTTTTTTATTTTTTTTTTATTTTATTTTTTATTTATTTTATTTTTTTTATTTATTTTATTTTTTTATTTATTTTTTTTTTTTTATTTATTTTATTTTTTATTTATTTTTTTATTTTTTATTTATTTTATTTTTTTTATTTATTTTATTTTTTTTTTATTTTATTTTTTATTTTTTTATTTTATTTATTTTTATTTTTTATTTATTTTATTTTTTTTTATTTATTTTTTATTTTTTATTTATTTTTATTTTTTATTTATTTTTATTTTTATTTATTTTATTTTTTATTTATTTTATTTTTATTTATTTTATTTTTTATTTATTTTATTTTTTTTTTATTTTATTTTTTTTTTTATTTTATTTTATTTTTATTTTTTTTTTATTTATTTTATTTTTTATTTATTTTATTTTTTTATTTATTTTATTTTTTTTATTTATTTTTATTTTTTTATTTTTTTTATTTTTTTTATTTATTTTTTTTTTTATTTATTTTATTTTTTTTATTTATTTTTATTTTTTATTTATTTTATTTTTTATTTATTTTATTTTTTATTTAGATTTCTGAGGAGAAACTTGTTGCTATTAAACAGGATGTTCTTCAAAAAGCTGTTGATGGAATGAAATCAGAAGGCATGCCATATGTGGGTGAGTCTTTATCTTTCTCATAGCTGAGTAATTTACCTTTATATCGGACTTCATCAGTATCATGATAATAAAGCAATCAAATTCTTACATGACCTTGCTAATTGTCGGGATATCATGTTAAGTCTTCAGGGCAACTCTTGTAGCTGTAAAAATTAGTTGCTGGTGTTCATCCTCGTCTCTATTGCATGTTACAAGTTGTATTCATTTGCATCAGTGTTGAAGCTTTCTTTTTAACTATGATTTTTCTGTTTCAGGTGTATTATATGCTGGTCTAATGATCACTGATGATGGACCACATGTTTTAGAATTCAACTGCCGTTTTGGGGACCCGGAAACACAAGTAACTTTTTTTTTTTTGTTTTTTTCTTCCACTCTCCCACCCACACTGTATCCAACTTTTTCTCTTTTCTCTCCTTTTTTCTCTTTTCTCTCCTTTTTTCTTCTTTCTCACTTTTCTCGTGTGTGTGCATGCATGATTTGGCACTCACCATCATTTCAGCTGTTGCTGTTGGTGGATTTCAACAGATCTGCCATATATAAGGGGAAATGACTTTGTTGACATAAGTAGATTTTTTTCTTGAATAATTAATTAGCAACAGAATAACATAGAAAAGTTATAATTCATCATAACAGAAATCCTTTTTTGTTTATTTTTTTTTCAAAAATCTTTAAAATTATTTTGTCTTTCAGTCAATCCTCCCACTACTAAAATCTGATCTTTTTGTTGTCGGAAAAGCTTGTGTGGAAGGAACCCTGCATGATAATATGCCAGAATTTGATCAAGAGAGTAAGGTTTTAGGTGTGGTGGTTGTAAGTGGTGGTTATCCTGGTTCCTACAAGAAAGGGATTCCTATTACTGGTGAGTTAATGGTTTTTTCTTTTTTCTCTCTTTTTTTTTCCTCCTTTTTCTTTCTTTTCCTTTTTCTTTCTTTTCCTTTTTCTTTCTTTTCCTTTTTCTTTCTTTTCCTTTTTCTTTCTTTTCCTTTTTCCAATGTTCAGGTTGTTGTCCTCATCTTTATTGTTATATTAAAGATGAAGGCAACAGTCTGAACAGTGTAACTAGTTACAATACCTCATCTCAGAAATATAGACAGATCCTAAAGGCAGGTGGAACCAGAGTTCATACAGCTCTCAGAACCCTTCAAAAGTTCTGAATAAAAAAAAAAATGCAATGGCCCATAGCTACTTGGCAAGTCTTTGAATTTTCTAAATTGTACAGCCCACACATCCTTTTTCTCAAGTCATGAAATTTAAAATGCCAAATCTCAGAAATCTGGCTTTTTTACAAGCTCAAATTTTCCTTTAAGAAAAAATGTTTTTTAATCATCAGTAATATTTGACAATTATTGCAAACGGTGGTTTGTTTCTTTGATTAGGACGAGTTCATGACCTCATCTTGGTGACGAGAAAGAATATGAAGATGTCTTTTTATTCAACAAGACACACTTTCATATTCTTTTTCGTTGCTTTCTTTCCTTGCAGATGATCTTTTAAGCATGAGCATCTTAAGATTTGTAAAGAAAGAACACACTAAGAATATAATTATATTTTCCAAACTGAAATAATTGTAAGAATTTTGTCAAACCCAAACATGCATAAAGATGCTGCAAAAGTTGATTGTGGATTTCTGGCAGAATTGGGCAATGCAAAATTTATCCGAGAAATGATATGTGAGCAAAAGATCTGTTTCCATGTTTATCATTAGTGAGAAACTTCTGGCAGTGTCTCCTCTTATAGATACCCTCTTGTAAGGTCATCTGCACGGCTGAACCCTGGATCCATTTGTGAAAAAAAAAAAAAAATCTGCCACAGAAGACAATCTAAAAAGATGTCTTTCTCATATGATAGACAGAAAACCAATCTGCCAGTTTGATTGTGCTGACATCATCAGTTAGTACAGTTAGTTCAAAGATTAGGATGCTGGAAATACTGCCCTCAAGAATTTCAGCAAGCATGAATATCATCTGGATACTTTGTCTAGCAACAAAGAATATCAAGTGTAGTAGAACTCCAAACTGTAGAAGGCTACAAAATGTGTAACATAACCAGGTCTTCATTCAGTTGTGTTTTAGCCTTCAGCACTTTGATTTCTTCACTGCTTTCAGCTGATAAATGTGACATGAATTATTGGAACCAGCCGTAGCTTTTCTTTGAACATCTCATCTGTCAAGCTATGAAAAACTAAAATCACCAAGTTTGTGTTTTTGAAATTAATGACCATTCACTTTGTGTGTGTGTATGCCAATTTCAGTCCTTGAAACTTCTTAACATAGTCCTGGAATTGTTTTTATACAGATCTGTAGGTGCCCTGTGGATCATACAACAGCTGAAATGTCATGAATATAGTAAGAAAGATAATGACAATAGTCCGAACAATGTAAATAGCTACAATACTTCATCTCAGAAATATAGACCTTTTTTTTTTTTTTTTTTTTTTTTTTTTTTTTTTAAATACTCCATTTTCTTTTTGCTTATTCCCTTTTTTTTTATATACTCAGTTTTTTTTTGTGTGTTGTTGATGTCTCTCCATTCCTTGTGTGTTGTTGATGTCTCTCCATTCCTTGTGTGTTGTTGATGTCTCTCCATTCCTTGTGTGTTGTTGATGTCTCTCCATTCCTTGTGTGTTGTTGATGTCTCTCCATTCCTTGTGTGTTGTTGATGTCTCTCCATTCCTTGTGTGTTGTTGATGTCTCTCCATTCCTTGTGTGTTGTTGATGTCTCTCCATTCCTTGTGTGTTGTTGACTTGTTTTTATTTGTTTACTTTGATATTCTTTTTTCTTTTCCTATGTTTTAACCTGTTGCATTTCATATAATTTTGTAATCATAATTTTTACTCAGGAAATTTTTTACATTATTTGTTCAAATGGTTATTGCTAGATCATTTACTATTGTATTGAGATTGTTCCTCTCACAGTGCCTTTGACTGGTTTAAATTAAGCTTCATTTTATATTTTTTATATTTCTTGCCATTTATTAAGGATCATTCAAGACTAAGGCTTTTTAAAATTATTTTGATTTGCATTCATAATCATTTATGATCATATATTTCTGAGATCATCATAGAACTTGTGTGTCCAGATACGTCTTTAGGTGTTAGTCTAGAACCAGAGATGCAGCCATCTGAGTATAAGGTACATCATGTGTGTGTTTGAGATTTTTTTTTTTTTTTTTTTTTTCCCTGTTTCCTTTCATTCACTCCCTTCCTGTCTGCCAACATGGTGCCTATTTGCTTGCTCAAGTGGTTGGATATTTAATTCTAGCATTAATGAGCAAAAAGGTTGAGAGATTTAGATAAAACATTTTTGAAATATGATACAGGATTAAAAAAAAAAAATTGCCAGTCTGATAAAACATACAGACGTCTTTTGTTCTCCATATTTGTTAACTGCTACAGTAGAGAAGAAGCAGTCATATAACTCGCATACAAAATTTATATTTGGCACTTGCATCTACTTTTTATTGTGAAGTGGAAAAGCCTACTTCTTTCTTTCCCCTGCAATTAACACAAATGACAAAAGTTGTTCCCCTCTGCGTGCATGCATGCATACTTGGAATTTCTAGGTTGGGATTGGGAGTTGACGTCAGTGGCTGGAGACCAATAATAAAGTTTTTTCCTAGAGATCTGTCTTCCAATTCCAGTATCCAAGTGTATATACTCTCTCTTACTATCTCTCCCCCCCATGATAAAAGTTGATGGAAATGACTAATTTTTAGAGACTTATTATACAGAAGTATGTTGGTTGCCACATTAAAAAGGATCCATTCTGTCTTTATGAACATGAAAATACATTCTGCATGTCTGTGATGTCAGTTTGGAAAATATGCAGGTATTGAATATTTATGATAAAAGGCTCATCTAGAACTATGGTACTTTAGTTCCTGTCATTTGAATGTCTCACAATTATCTTGGTATCCTTTTGAAGTGGGCACAAGGGAGTAATGCTTAGTGGCTCTGACTGAGGAATCTGAGCCAAGTTTGAATTCCAGTCGAGTTCATTACAGTCATTTAAAAAAGAGCCTCAAAAGGGCTTGTCTCTCCTGGAGTTTATAATGCCATAAATTATACTAACATTGCATAACAAATCAAATACACGTGAAGCCTGATTAATCAATGAAAATCAACACAAATAAAAATACCAGAATTTCTTAATTTTTATCCCATCATATATACATGTACACATGCAGTAGAGACATAGGAATCAACATTGCATAGTGACTGTGCATACTGCCATTATAACTTTGATAATGACTCTGATTTTATTGATGTGTCTTTTTACTCATTGCAAATGATTTTATTTTTCTCTTCCAGGCTTAAAAGAGGCTCATGATGCTGGCTTAACTGTCTTCCATGCTGGGACTGCTATGAAAGACAACCAGTTGGTATCTTCTGGTGGCCGTGTCTTGGCAGTGGTGGCAAAAGAGAAAGATTTCCAAACTGCTTACGACAAAGCTCAACAAGGTGCTGCTCTTATCCAATTTACAGATGCTTTCTACAGGAAAGACATTGGCTACAAAGTTCTGACCAGGTAATTTGTCATCCTTTTTGACACTCTGGTCATTTGTTGGGCCCCACATAACCATTTTATTATTTTAGTAAAAAAAAAACATTTTGCTTTCTTTTGAGTTTTCATTCTCTTTGCATGTAGAACTATTTGGACAATTTAAAAACAAAAAACACAATCACAAAAGCCAAATGAGTGGGTAGTGGTCAAGTCAGTGGATAGCAATAACAAAAGTTGTAACCATACCTACATATTACCAGGTGACTAACATTTAGTTGAAAATCCAACAGAATGGTAAATATATAAAACAATTTTGAAAACTTATTTGGACATTTTCCTGATCAAAGATTGTCATGAAAAAATGGATTTTATTTTGACCAAATGAGACCATATAGCTTCTGATTAGATGTACATTGTTTTGTTTTCCGTGTCAACAATTTAAACTTTAATCAGAATCTGATGGAATCATAAATATATAAGACCATTTTAAATCAAATTGTCAACATCGAAAACACAGAAACCAATTCGCATTTAATAAGGTGTTCATAAGGTATTTAGTTGAAATAAAATCCATTTTTCTTGATGACACTGGTCAGCAAAACGTGTAAAATAAGTCTTAACTAGATTTTCTCATATATTTGCCATATTACCAGGTTTAAATGCAACTGTTCCTCAAATACAAAGTCTCACTTATCAAAAAATTTTATATATATATAAGAAAATAAGATTTGATGTGTATATAATAAAATGCTAATGTCAGTTTGTCGCTGTGCCAGTTTTTTCAATTAAAGGGACACAACTCTGTACTTTGTAACTTTCAATAGTTCAGAAATTTTGGATTCCCAATTTTCATTACTGCAATTGTTTTCGTCGATTTTTTTTTTTTTTTTTTTTTACGATAACAATTTTTATAACTTTGGAATAAATTTGGGAATAATAGAAGTAATTGTTTGTACAGAAAGTAAGGACCTACGTACATCAAATTGCCTTTAAATTAAGTGACAGCAGAAGAATTATCATTGAACTTTTAAAAGGTAAGCTTAAATATTAATGCCATACTTAAATGTAGTGGTCAATTTTGAGTTCTGTAGTTTGTTTATACAGTAGCATTATGCCTTACAAAAAGAAATCTCCATCAATGGAGGACCAGATTGCAATCAAAAGAGCCAAGGCTGCAGCGAGGAAAAGAAAGTCCCGTGCAAATGAAAACCCAGATCAAATGGTAGCCACGAGAGCTTCCAATGCTGAGAATGTAGAGACTTAGGGACTCTCAAACTGCTGAACAAGCCAAAGGCTCAATCAAGAAGAGCCCTCTGCAGTAGCTAGCTTAAAAGCTAGTGTTTAATAAATCCTACCGGTGATATCTCAGATTAAATGAATGATTTGTAATGTATGAAGTAATACCAAAACTAACACCTATTCTGTGAACTAGGTAAGTGCCTGTCAAAATCATGAGATAGGGATGTATTGTCACTTGTAACAGATCAGTCTAGTATCTGTGCACTCTACCTAGATTCAGTGTTGCTTCTTGGAACTTCTGTTTAGAATTAGATTGCAGGATCTCTGTGAAATATTGTAAGAGAGAAAATATATGGTCTGATGATTGTTTAAAGTGTGAAACTGGCATTCATTGTGCAGTGTCAATTTCTATGTCCATACTGATTATATCTACAAATGGTATCTTCCCCCAACTCTAAATATAGCAAATTTTAAACCTGCACTTGTGTGTATGTAACAAATGTGCGCTCTTATATTAGATGATGCCTCCAATGATTTTATATACTGATTTGACTTTCATTCTAATTTGAAGCCTCCTACCTAGCTAAGGTGAAACGTATTGTCAATAAAATGGTTTTCCATCTTGAGTTCTCCACTTATGTTTGAATTCTATACCTAACACACACACACACACACACACACGCATATATATAGCTTTTAAATGTTATTTTTAAGTGGATACTCATATTTTAGTGGGTGTTCATTTATTTATTAAACTATCTTTATTTGTTTTGTCTACCGGCCTGAATGTTAGAGAAATTTTATCAAAGAAAAATTTGCACTCTTCAGCAAGAATTGAAGCTTCATCCCTCAGAGATTGCACATTTTACTTTGATAAGATATCCGTTCAGACTGGTTGGCAATAATAAGTAAACAGAGTGCCTACTCAAATATGCCCCCCCCCAAAAAAAAACCCAGCTGTCTTTAAAATAAAATAAAAAAAAAAAAGGCATAGAGTTTTTTATGGACAAAAACAACACAGCATTCTATAGTCAGTACAGCTTGTGTCTTGACTACTTGAATCTTCAGTAGAACAATCAATGTCCAATTTTCTTGACTGGTTCTTGCCATTGGAACAATACTGTCCGATGCCAAGAGGCCGCAGTATGCTGTACAAAATATGAATAAACCATCAACTATTGTGCAAGTAGCATTAAATCTTTAAAGGTTTTGGTGTGGTCAGGTGGTGAACCAACTTTTCTGCTTTTTGGCCATCTACATATAATGAGTAACCAGCCATCATGCGCGCACAAACACACACACATACACAATCATTTATTTGAAAATTATAACATAAAAATATTATAAAATCACTACAAAAATAGCCATTTTGTTTCAGCACTTCTGGTGTCTTATTCAACGCCATCACTTGATAAGACAACACAAGTGTTGAAACAAAATGGCTATTTTTGTAGTGATTATATAACATTTTTAGGTTATAATTTTTGAATAAATATTTGCTCAACTCTGTATTGAGCACTCTTTTAAGAATAGTATTTGTTGGTTATTGGAATTTATTCCGTATACACCAATCTATACTAGGGGTATATATATATATATATATATATATATATATATATATATATATATATATATATATATATATATATACACACACACACACACACATTGATTGTTCTACTGAAGATTCAAGTAGTCAAGACACAAGCTGTAAGTCATTTATATTATAAGGTTATAAACTCTGCTGTAGCTATAGTACTGACTATAGAAGGCTGTGTTGTTTTTGTCCATAAAAAACTTATGTTTTTATTTTTATTTTCTGCATAGAGATATTGTTTTTGATGCAACTTGGGACATAAAATCTCTTTTTGGATTGTTTATGTCATTCCATTTTGATAAAACCTGAAATATAATAGATCAAAATTTATCATCCTTGTTACTGACAATACTCAGAATGTGTGTATTTTTCTCATTTATATTTTGTCTTGGGAGAATTTTTCTTTTTTGTTTTTTTTTTAATTTGACTTTTGCTAGATCTTAAAATAGAAATTTAAATCTTATTTTCTAACCAACCCACTACTTGCAAAAACCAAACAAAAAAAAAAAATGACCAATAAATTGTTTTTTTCCTTTAAAAAGTCAACTTCTGTCTTTGTTTTATTTTCTTGTTTAAATTTCCATTTATCACATCTCCATCCCAACATCTTCATCTTAAAAACAGTTTACATTGCCATGGAGCAATGGTTACTGAGTGGGCCTAAAAAACCTTTATGATTTTCAGTGTATGCCTCCCTCCCACACACACACTTGTAGTCTTGTGCCCTCCATGCAATCATTAGCAATATTTGTCTAGTAAGTTGAATACTTCTCAATTGCTCTGTTGTTTTCTGTCTGGTCGGATGATCACTGAAGGCATGAAATTGATTATCACCATGCAGTATTAACTTGTATGCACACACACACACACACGAGAGAGAGGTGCCTCCCCAAAAAAGTGGTACCTAAGGTTTTAAAATGCAAAATCTTGAAGCTTTTATCTTAGTTTTAATTTCAAGCTAATAGATTAAATTTAATATTTCCAATAAGCAAAATACTTTGCTGTATTTCAAACTGAATTTAAATTGATTGGAAACTTTTTTTTCTTATCAGCCATAGTGACAAATCTATAAACACAACATAATTCTCTTTTATTTTAAAAAAAAAAAAAAATCTTTAAAAAATAAAATAAACTTTTCTTAAAACTGAAGAAAATTAACTGATCAAAATTTAAAACAAATATTACTTTTGATTTAAGATATCCCAGAAAGGGATTTATTTAACATGGTGTTTGCTTTTATGAGGTGTTTGCACATCTATCAATAACATAATGTTTACGTGATTTATATAACGGTGGAGTAATTGTAGTAAAATGACACAGTGAATACAATGTAATTTTTTTTTTTTTTAACTACCAAGTGATCTTGAAAAATTTAAAATACTTTAAGAATTCTAATATTCAATTTTAAGTACCTTGGTTTTATAGTCTTATTACAAAGAAACTTGTTGAGGAAATGTTGGAAAATTACGAATAAATTTTAAATTTACTATAGTTATTGCTCTCCTCATTATTTTGTTTTTTGGATATCCGTATTTACACAAATTGGCATGTCTATATAATTATGGTTAAATAAAAATTCAATATTATTTTTAAAATATTGGTGGTTGTTGAATTGTAGTAAGCTTTTCTATTTATGATTAGTAAATATAGTTTTTATTTAATAACAATATTACTTGACCAGTACAAATTAATACAAAAAATTTTAAAATTTAAAAATTATCATAATTAAAAAAGAAATTAAATGATTCCTGTAAAAGTTCATTATTCATTGAAAAATTTTCTTGAGACAATAGTGTCTATAATATACAGTGCAAACTTGGTTCACAAATTTAATTTGTTCCTGAAGGCTGTTTGAAACCTGAAATGTTTGTAAACCGAAACTATTTTTCCAATAGGAATCCATGTAGAGAGAAAAACATCACAGTACAATAAAATTGGAAAAGAAAAGCACTGCACAATACTTGAAAGTATACAACACAGTGGTTGATGCAGAAATTATTCTGTTCATATTAACTTGGTTTGGCTATGTTGTTCGAGAACCAAAATTTTGTTCGATAATGGAAGCATTTTCATCTTGAATTTTCTGTTCAAAAACTGAATTGTTCAACATGTGAGATGTTTGATAACCGAGGTTGCTCTGTATTTTACTGTTGAAATTGCAAGATGTAACCATAAGTTCTATGTTAAT